AATATGGTATATTTGTGAAACTTGGTCCTGACGTCATTGGTAGAGTTATGCTTAAAAACCTCTCGGATCAATATGTCCAGAATTACGAATCTTGCGTCAACGTAGGAGATCTAGTTAGGGCTAAAGTAGTAGAGTAAGTGGGTGTGGTTTTGTTTTCGTGGTAACCGATTTTTAGGATCAATAACGGTCGGATTGAGTTGTCTCTTAGACTCTCGGATATTGATGAGTCAGCAGGTTTGAGGTACAAGAAGTTGAAGGAGTTGCAACGAAAGGGAAGGAAAAGAAGAAAAAATATGCCATCAGAATCGACGTAATTTATAGTTGTTGTTGTTTATTATTATTGTTTGTTGTTGTTTTAGTGAGGAGGAGGAAGAAGAAGAATTAGTGGAAATGTCAGAAGGTGAAAGTGACACAATGGATCAACAAGAGATTGAAGAGAAGGAGAGTGTGCTTGAAGATACAAAGAGACTTAAGAAGAAAAGAAAGCTAGAAGATAAAGAAGAGGATAGCTGCAGCATGACTCCATTACCAGTGACTGGCGGTTGGGACTATAACCCATCCAACGACACCATTGAAGAGAGAGATGATGAAGATACTAATGAAGTATATTTAATTGTCATCCATTACTTATTATAATTTTAATTTATTTTTGTAGGTTATTAGCAAAAAGAAGAGCAAGAGACAGAAGAAGGCCATTAAGAAAGCAGAAGAGCTGCAGTCTTTATAAAGTATATAATGTTTAATAAACTATTAATAATATCAATTATCATTAATAGAGAGAGCATTCATTAATGGATACCAGCAGGTTACCGCAATCAGCTGATGATTTTGACCGGCTATTAGTAGCTAATCCAAACAGGTTAATTAACCATTATTAATGTTAATCATTTAACTATTATTAATGTTACCTTTTCTCAGCTCTTCGCTGTGGTTACAGTACATGGCGTTTTATCTTCATACAGCTGAAGTGGACAAAGCCAGAGCTACAGCCGAGAGAGGACTAGCAGCAATATCATTTAGGTAGCCATTACTTTGTATCGCTTAAATATTTTATACCCTCTCTCTTTCAGGGAAGAAGATGAGAAACTCAACCTATGGGTTGGGTTTCTAAATCTTGAGAACATGTACGGTGACAGTGAATCATTGGACCAAGTTTTTAAAAGAGCTTTGCAGCAAAATGATCAATTTGAGATTTATACCAGATTGATTGACATACATGTGACCTCAAATAAGCCTGAAGTAAGTACTTATTTATTTAATCATGTATTTTCTGCCCCCCTCTTTCTTCTTGCTCTTAGTATGCTGATCAGTTGTACCAGATCATGTGTAAGAAGTTCAGCAGTAATATACAAGTCTGGTCTCAATATGGCCGCTTCCTAATGGAGCAAGGCAAAGCTGATCTTGCGCGTAAAATATTACAAAGAAGTTTCAAGTCCCTCACAAAGAAACAACGTAAGAGAAACATCAGCTGCTTCTATATATTGTAACCGTGTGTCATGTGGGGTTGTAGATATTGATATTACTAAACAGTTTGCTCAGTTTGAGTTCAAATATGGCGAAATGGAGAGAGGATGTACACTGTTTGAGAACCTAGTCTCATCCTATCCTCGTAAGGTTGATATCTGGTCAGTTTATATTGACATGTTAACAAAGAAAGGAGAAATGGACAGAGTGAGGTAATGGACACTAGTAATAGAAGTATTAGTCTACTCTCTCCTTCCCTCTCTTCTCTTAGGGATGTGTTTGAACGTGCTGTTAGTTTGAAACTTTCTTCGGTAAAGAAACAGTTTTTATACAAGCGCTACATTGAATTTGAGAGAAAGCATGGGACACAATCTCTAGTGGAGACTGTACAAGCTAAATCACAAGCACTTTTGTAAAAATAATTCTATAATTTTATTAATTAAATGGGCGTGCCCTAATAGACTAAATGGGTGTGGTTTGTTGGGATTGTTTGCACACTATCAATCACAATGGCAGGTCTTGACTCTTACTGTAGAATACCTCCTGGAGGAACTGGTAATGAAAATAACGAGCCATTTCTCTTATCTCTTAGAGAAGACGATGCCATCAGCACTCTGCATAGCTACGGGATACATAAAGTACCTCACTTAGGCAAGCAATTATGT